GCCAAGAATCAGAACTTTAGAATACTTCATTGTGCTCAGAACCTGTACATAGACCAAGAGGCAGTCATTCAAACAGAACAAGGAGATACTGGGTGGTTTAAAATTAGTAAAGTAATGCTTCCAGGTTGTATATGTTCACTGTACTTATTTCATTTGTATGCTGAGCAAATAATCCAAGAAGATGGATCATATGAAGAAGAATGTGGCATCAGGATTGGAGGAAGGTTCATTAATAGCATGTAGGTGACATGGCCTTCCTTGCTGGCAATGAAGAGGACTTGAAATACTTACTGATGAAGATCCAAGACCACAGCCTTCAGATGCATTGCACCTCAATGTAAAAGGAAATGAAAATCCTCACAATTGGACCAATAAATGACATATAATAAATGGAGAAAAGATTGAAGGTGTCAAAGACTTCATTTTACTTGGATTCACAATCAAAACTCATGGACACAGCAGTCAAGAAATCAAACAATGTGTTCCAATAGGCAAATGTGCTGCAAAAGACCTCTTTAAAGTATTCAAGAGCAAAGATGTCAGTCTGAATACTAAGGTATACCTGGACCCAAGCCATGGTATTTTCAATTGCCTCATATGCATGTAAAAGTTGGACAATGAATACGGAGACCAGAAAAGAATCCATGCATTTGAATTGTGGTGTTGGTGAAGACTGTTGGAAGTACCAGGCACTTCCAGAAGAACAAACAAATCTGTTTTGAAAGTACAGCTAGACTGCTCCCTGGAAGCAACAATGATGAGACGTCATCTTAGTTTGGACAAGTTGTCAGGCAGGACCAATTCCTGGAGAAGAACATCATGCTTGGTAAAGTAGAGGGTCAACAAAAAAGAGTAATACACCAAATAACATGAATTGACACAATGGCAGCAACAATGGGCTCAAACATAACAATTGTGAGGATGGCGCTAGATCTAGGCAGTTTTATGTTCTATTGCATATAGAGTTGTTATTAGTCAGAACCAACTTAATAGCACTAACAACATCACAACAATCATTTGCTTCTTCCTCTGCTACCTTAGCACTTTCCTCTCTATTTCCAGGATATTACTATGCATCTGCTAAGCATCTTTATAAATAGCATACTTAAGGTGTTGCATTTGTATACTTGGCCTCTTCTGACCTGAATCAACTTTATGATCCAGGTTTTTTCTTCTTTTTGCATTCTCCCACTAATTCCTCCCTGGCCTCACAAATAAACTCTCTATGGCTTATGCACCCATTCAATAAGTACAGGAAAATATAGAATCCTTTGGGAGAAGGAAACAAAAAACTGTAGTGGATAGGCTCCCTTGTACTCAGGGGCTTAGGATTTATTTTCTGTAATGCTGATCTGGAGTCTTAAAGCCTCACAAGGAAAATTAAGGAAAGTGTAACAATTGTCTCCAGTTGGCATCTGCTAAAATGTCTTCATTTCAAACAAGGATAAACATGAGAACTCTGACGCTTATAAATTACCTTAAAAATAGCTGACAAAGCTTTAGTTATTGCCAACCTCAAGTCTCAGTGGTCTGAATATGTGTCTGACTTAATTACAGATGCACCCCAGGAATTGACAAGCTATAGAGAAAGTAATTTTCAACCAGAAGAAAAAGGATGCCATCTTTCAGCAAATACTGCAAATTACATGTTCTTTCAATATTAATTTTCTCTTTTTTCAGAAAAAAAAAGTTATATTTCTCTAAGACCCAAGTGTAACAATGTCCCTCCTGGCCAAGCAGCCAGGTATCAACCCCTCAATACCTAATAGAACAGACAGCAAGGTAACAGTCATACAGATTCTAAACGAAGCCAAAACCTTCATCCCTACCCCTGCAACTCACAAGTTTCATTGAAGGAAAAAAAAGCCAATCCTGATACTCTGGGAGTAATAGAAAATCTAACTAAATGTTTAGAATACAGTACAAAACTATACTAGAAGATAATGATGGGTAGTAGATTTATAGGTGTTATTTCCAATATTATGCTCCAAAATTTGAATGTATTACACATATTACTTTACATACTAAACTTTAACTTCTTTTGAAAAAAAGAATTTCTAAAATGTTAGATGAGAACACCAAATTGTTATGAGTAGTTATCTCACAGTGGTGAGGAGAGATTATGACTATTTTTACTTTCTACTGTATACATTTCTGAATTGTTTGATATTTTCTGAGTTAACATGTTACTTTTTTTTTTTTTTAAAGAAAAACAGGGACTGATTTAGTATGCTGGGTAAGAGGGAATTTCACAATATCATGCAAAGTACGTATCAAAAATTAAAAATGAGTAAGGAAACAATGCATTCCACAGACATAACTGCTGGAAGTTCTTAATCTAGCAACAAACATGTGAAAGTCATTTCAGGAAGGTGAATGAGGACAAAGGAAACATTCCTATTGTAGTCAAGGTCAGGATTTCAGGAAAACAGATCTTTGGCATGGAAAGCAACCCAGAAAATAAACAACCTATTCCCAGTAGCTCAGAAACTATTTATAAGAAACCAAACAGGACACTAATCAAGAAGCATTAAATCTCAAATACAAGGTAGCTGTGGACATTTTGTTGTATATGGACTCTAAGACAAAAAAGACAGTGAAAAGAATGATCAAAAGGCATTTCTAATGACTTCATATATGAATACACAAGTGTAAAACTTCTCAATTGGTTCCTGAGAAGTGACTAACAATGACTGCACCAAGTATACTTGTACATATTACCTATTCAATAAATGAATGAATTTTAAAATAAAGCAAAAGATAGAAACCAAATAAGCAAAGCCTGTTTCTGAATGGCAGCTTATCTCATGAGATTTATGCCCTCATGAGATGGTACAATGGAATGAACATGGAATTTAAGAAACGAAAATACCTAGATTGTAACCCAGTTCAATCACTTTCTAGAAACAAGATACAGAAAAAGATCATTGATCTTAAAACAGGAAAAAAAAGGCTCTGGAGTACTCTTCATTTGTTGTTGTTGTAACTTTCACTGAGTTGGTTCCGACTCAGAGCGACCCTATATAGGGATTCCAAGGAGTAACTGGTGGGTTTGAACTGTTGACTTTGTGGGTAGTAGCCAAGTACTTATCCTATAGTGCCACATCAAACCAAGTGGCCACCAAGAATTTGTAACCAGTGAGGAAACCAATACATTCTGAAATGCTACATCACTGGGACTTAAAATGACACAGCAAAATTTTAACTTTAGTGGGCAATGAACAGAACCCTCCAAACCCATGAGATGTATAAAAGCCGTATTATGACACTTTATACATATAAAAGGGCTTCAAACGTTCATGGGAAAATTCCATTATCTTTTCATTCTATTTTTCAATGAACTTTTTGAAGTGCCCTTGTATAGACACATATACACACTTGTATACACATATACACACTTGGGAAGATTATGGAGCTGGAATATTTATTTATGAGGCAGCATCACAATCTATAGAATATAGGCCAACTGGTGTGTTGTTGTTTTGTTACTGTTAAGTACCACTGAGTTGCTTCTGACTCATAGAGATCCTGCATAGGGTTTCCAAGGTTGTAAATCTTTACGGGAGCAAAAAACCTCATCTTTCTTTCAAGGAATGGCTAGTGGATTCAAGCTGCCAACCATGCAGTTTGCAGTCCAGTGCTTATACTACAGAGGCTCGGTGCTCCCACATGCATACTGTTATTGTTATGCTGTTGAGTCAGTTCTGACTCATAGCAACCCTGTACAGCAAACCTTTGGCGCTGCAGGTTAATGCACTGGACTGCAAGGTCTGTTTCAACCGCACGGTAGGTGGTTCAAGCTAACCAGCTGTTCCTCAGAAATCCTATACAGGGTCGCTATGAGTCAGAACTGACTCGATGGCACTTAACAAATACAACTAAATAGAGTTTCCAACTGCCAACCTTGTTTAGCATTACATTCTAAGTATTTTCTTAGATTTTCCATTGTTCCCTTAGTGACAGGGACTTGCAGCAAGCTACTCAATCTCTTTATGTCTCAGTTTCTTCATGTGACTACTGGGGGAAACAGTAAGACCAATTACTTAAGGTTGCTGTGAGGATTAAATAAGTAAACACATTTAAGCTCTCAGAATATTGTTGCCCATTATAAGAGCATACCCAATACACATTAGCTGCTAGGATTTTTTATCAGTAGTAGTACAAGAACACCACCACCACTTCAACCTGCAGCAGACCAAGTTTGTAGTTAGATTTAGAAATACTATACAACACAAAGAAACACAACACACACACACACACATCCCAGGCTAAAAAGTAAAACAGAACCAATTCTAAGTCAGTCCCCTTCAGTGTCTCCTCAGGCTGTTTTGAGGGACAGTGACAAGACAGAAGCAATAGACCAACAATGCACAGCGCAGAAGAAAGAATATGTGAGTTCTGAGCAAATTAACCACAGGAGAACTGGCAAATTCTTTCACTCACTTAATCATTTATCAAATTTTACTAAAGGTTGCTATATATCAAGTATTGTGCCAAATGTTAAAATTTTTTCAAATGGAAGAATGTCTATTCCTTGAGAAAGTCATGTTTTGTGAAGGAAATATACACAGATTATAATATACAGGTTATAAAGTGAACTGGACCCAGAGTGGTATGGAAGCACAGAGGAGACACACCTAATCTAGACTTGGGAGAAGAAGGAAAGAGGAAGACTTCCCATAGGCAGTGACATTTAATTTGAGCCTTAACAAAAAGTAAATCAAGGTGAAGGGGCTAAAACCATTTCCCCAGGGGTAAAAGCTATAAATGGCGATAAAAAGATGAGCACCATTGCCCTTCCATCAGACACATACAATCAAAAGATCTTCTCCTAAACTTAATCATTGGAGGTACTGGGCCTGAACGGACATGTTTCTGCAAAATTTGTTTCCATACACATCTCCACCCTTCCCAACGCAAAATAAGGACAAGTTTGGAGAAACTGGCACCAATGGCTGGCACCAACGAAAAACAGGTTCAGAGACAAGTTTCTCACTTACAACACTGGGCGGCAGCAGTGGGCAACAGCTTCCTCTGTCTTTCTTCTTGAACAGAATACTAGAAACAGAAAGAAAAAAAATGTATATATATATATTATGAGGCCCTAGATAAAGAAGACAAAAAAACAAAAAAATCAGCCACTTGCAAAAAGTTTAAATGTTCGGAGTCAAATTTTTTATTGAGCAGAAAGAGAATCTCCTACTGCTGTGTTTCCTGTGTGATCCCGACATACAGACCAGAGTAATCTGACAAAGCACTGGCCCACTGAGACAGAGGAAAGCAGACTAGCAGAGACTGTTCTGACCAAAGGTACCTGGGTACCTCCCAGGCTAGGCCTTAAAAGCCTTCAATTATTTACTTCACAGTCCTCTGAGGTTTCCTGTGGCTAGTGTGGATAATTTCCTCATTTGAGTGATGTAACCGAAAATCTCTGAAGCTGTGTTGTTGTTGTGACGTGTCATCAAGTCAATTCCAACCCATAGCGAACCTGTGTAGGGTTTCCAAGGAGCAACTGGTGAGCTTGAACCACCAACCTTGCAGACTTTGCAGTCTGACGCATTAGCCCACAGCACCACACCAGGCTGTAGTCTCCTATTTTTTAAAAAGTACTAGCGTTTCTTACCTCACAAGGTAATGTGAGATGTAAATCACGTACCTAAGCATGTACTGCAGTATTTCATATCTACTAGAGTTCCCTTCCCACTTTCCACTTAGGCACTTGCTGTTGTTAAGTGCCATGGAGTTGGTTCCAATTCATAGCAACCCCGGAATAGGGTTTCCAAGGAGTGGCTGGTGGGTTTGAACCACCAAATTTGCAGTTCAAATTGACTTTGTGGGCGATGTATCCTGCAGCACCACACCAGAACTCCACTACTCTCTCCAAATCACCTGACCAAAAGAACAAATAGAGGATACTGAAGCCATAAGAAAATATTTATAAAGGGAAACAGAATTAAGTGCAAGTTTTGAAGATGGGAAGGATTTGGAAAGGCAAAACAAAAAAGAAAAGGCATAAGTAAATTAATGGAGGTATGTAGATAAAGGGTTATTGTAAGAATAATTTAGTTCAGAGCCCACTGGAGTAGAACTAGAAACATAGAAGTTGGCCAAGTGACTTGCAAATATGAGACTTGGGGTCCTTATCCTAACTCTGTCACGTACTAAGCTGTGAGATACTAGGCAAGTCAGCACCTCTCTAAAACTGTCAATGTATGGCATAAGTGAAAGGAACAAATATGTATTGAGTACCTACTATGTTCCAGGTCTTGTTCTCGCCACTGCAGGAACAGGGTTTGTAAATCACTATAAAGAGTTTGAGTTTTACCTTAGTGTGCTGGGAAGCCATTTAGGATTTTAAACAAGAGGGATGTGACTAAATTTACACTTTTAAAAGAGTATTCTAATTACTGTGTGAGAGGCACTGTAGAGAATGAAGAAGGAAATCAATCATTGCAATAATCCAGACAAAAAGTTGGTGGTGGCTTACATAGGAGTATTAGTGGTACAGGACATTTCAAGCGGCTGTATTCAAAGCACAATATATTTTTTATATATAAAAGTACTTTCATATGTTAAGTATTTTACAAGCAAAATGCCATGGTACAGATATCAGAGGTAGACGCTGCTATTACTATTTCCAATAGAGAATAATCAGAAGTACAAATTAAACAACATGATAATATCACCAAAAGGCTCAAAACTTATTGACGATAATGTGAGGATTAAATAAAATTATGTATTTAAGCAGTACCTCATATCCACTAGTGTAGTTTGGGACAAAACAAGTGAGAAATTATGGGATATTTTAATTCTATAATCCCTATTTCTTTAGGAACTAAGATTCTTGGGGTGAAAAAAATAAGAAAACCAAAGGTAAGATAGAAATGGTTAAGTAAAACTAGGAGGCCTGAATTTGAACAGAAGTATAATCATGAACCCATGAGGCATTTCATCATATATAAATCTTTTTTTTTTTTTTCCTAGTCTGTCCAGTAGTACTTTGCAATGCTAGCATCCAGACTGTGGCTCTGAAATATCACTTTCCTATAAAATGACCCGTGAATCTTGAATAATGGGCAGGAAATGTTCAAGATGAGCCTAGAAAACCTTGTACTAACAGAAAGAAAGGAAACCATTAAAGAGAGAAAGAGAACTCTGGATTAAAATAGACTTTAAAAATAACAAGTATAAACTGTGGTTTTAGAGATAACCACTTGGGTGATAAAACTATAGAAATTCTGAGAAACGATTGCTGCGAACTTAAGGACAGTGGTTACTTTTAGAGAAACCATCCGTGTTGCTACTGGAATTAAGCATATGGACAGGTTCTGTGGTAGCTGATGAAGTCTTATTTCTTGACCTGGATGAAGGTTACAAAGGTCTGTATCAATGCTCTATTTTATAGTAAAAGGTTTCTTTAAGCATATAATCAATGAAAAGAAGTAATAGAAAAACAATTAAAATTTACAAATGGAAAGAACTGATCCTACATAAAGTGTTTCTAGGGAGGGAATGACAATAATTCTAACTCTAAGGTGGGAGAGGCTAGGTCAATCTTGACTCAATGTTCCCAGACCCAAAAGGTTACTGTGTATGGGAACTATTAAAATATTCTACAAAATATCTTCAATATTTTTAAAACCATTTTGTGACAAGTATGATACAATCATGGAAATTATTTAATTTTAGAGATGGGTATGCATAGGTTTCATTTTATTATTGTAATTAGACCTATCTTCTAATAGTCAACGTGTCCAAAAGTGAACAGCCTTATTATCTTCTCCCTCTACCACTAATAACAAAAACAAATTATCCTTCCTTCTCTATTCCCCATTGCTGGTGCCCCAGGTTGAACTGATTGTGTTGGCCTCTCTGTCGTACCCCTCTCTGGAGAACGCAAGCTAGGACAGCAAGACCAAGCAATATGACAGTCCAAACAGTCCTTACAAGAGCACACAAATAAGGACATATATCCGCAACTCTGGGAGAAAGCATAACAAACGCCTTCTGCTCATTTGTGTAACAAAAAAGATACCTTCCCTGGTACAAGTACCCTTCCCAATTGTTTAGATAGAGCAAGGAGACTGTCAATTGTTGAGTCAACTATTCTGGGGGCAGGTGAGAAGAATAGGAAAAGACAGAGGTTTCTAATTAATTTTCAAGCACGAAAAGCTGCTTTTCTTTAATGCAGCTGTAATTATTTCATCTTTTAGGGGTCAAGATGCTTTCCTGTACAAGATAAAAATACCAGGGATTATTCCCATCTCTCTATATTGCAGGTAAGTCAGTATCTACCTCATTGTCGGTCCCCAAGAAATTGATTTGCTCCAATTTGTAAGTCCAATATCTGGCTTCCTCTTCTGGGATATCTATCACAAGAACAAAAGAAAGAAACCACATGAGCAGATACTAATTTAATTACCAGGAGAAAAAAACTACTCAGTCTTAATGACCAAAGTTAAGAGGGTGGTCTAATTTTTTATAAGGCTTGGTTCTTGCCACCACATTATCTAAAATTTTCACCCCAAAAAAGCTATTATTCCCACTGTTCTATTTTGTAGGTGAGAAAACTGAACTTCAGAGAAGTTAAAGAATCTGGTCAAGGTCATGAAGCATGACCTTGTAAGTAGATGAGTCAGGATTCAAACCACAACATGTGTGATTCAAAAAATTACATTATTTCTATGCAACTTTTTCGTAATCATTTTTCTAAATGCTACTTTCCTTTTAGCAAAAACAGAGCAGCTCAAAGGATCAGTTTACAATAAATGTTAAGCCTTGAGATATCAAGAAGCTCAAAATTCATTGTTTTTCATCTCTGGAAAAGATTAGATGCTCAAATATTAGTTGAATGAGTAAACAAATGAATAACTTACTTTAAAAATTAATGGTATATTGTTATTTTATATATTTATATTTACTATAACAACTTCCAAAAAAAACTCATCTTTTAAAAAATCAAGTACAATATATATTTGAACAAAAGAAAAACACTGAAACAATATACAAATTATCAAGCCTGGAGACATTAAAACAGATCCACTTTTTAGTAGCCTACATGAAAAAATTAAATGTAGTCCTTTTATTTTTTTTATTTCTCCTTTCCAAAAGTTCACCTTCCTATTGTTGCAGGGAGGGGAATGTAATTATTGAGATGAAACAAAGTGTATAATTTGCTGAATATAAAGCTGATGATCTTGTCTGTAAACTGTCACTCAACTCACAATAAAAATTTTTTTAAAAAGAGAAACATAAATTGGAAACAATAAAAGGCAAAATTAAAGATTAAAAAAAAAAAAAAAAGTTCACTTGCTTCCCCTCAAACCATTCTTTAGCAATTGGTTACAAATGTTTACAATCATAAACAGTGAACAATAAATACCACTTCCTCATCTGTATAGCACAGTATGTACCTGTTAAAAAGAAGTGAGGGAAAGGAAGCGATGCTGCTGCCACTTAGGTCCAATAGACAATGAACCTATATGGTTGGAAAAGACCTGGTGTGGCACGGTAGGATATTCACTGGGCTGCTAATCACAAGGTTGATGGTTCAAACCTACCAGCCGCTCACAAGAAACCCTATACAGGGTCGTTATGAGTCAGAACCCACTCAATGGCACTTAACAACAATAATAAATCCAGCAGCCTTCATGTGGTACTGCAGGATCAGCACTGGACTGCTAACCAGAAGGTTATTTGTTCAAACCCACCAGCCACTCTCAGAAACCCTATGCAAAGTGTCTTTGAGTGGGAGCCAACTTAATGGCACACACTACCACCATTATCCAGTATAGACAAAGTCGCCAAGATCTACTAAGTTAATAAGAACTCCTTCTAGAGTTCCAGTTCATATATGCATGAGCTTACTCCAAACAAAATATTAAGCATGCCTCTGCAATCAGTGGTGGCTACAGATAAGTTGTCTCAGTACTAGGAGCAAATACTGAATTATGCAGGAAGCATCAAAAGAAGACAGAGGTGACCACGTTGGTCACTGATAAGGGAAAGAGGGGGAAAAACAGCAATGAAGTTGGGAGCTAAGTCCAACCATATTCAATAGACTCCTGTGAACCTGGATGGAGACCTGATTGGCCAGTAGTATGGCAAGACCCAGGGACTCCTGGTCCAAGAAGCAGTGACATGGCCACAGAAGACTAGAGTGGAGAGCGATGCATCCAGCTGATATGAAGTGAGGGGAGATGCACAAGAACACCCATACTTGCAGATAGTATCCACCTGACCAGGTTTCAATGTCTCGATGATCAGAACTCGACTAAAAGAAGAAAGAAAAGGAAAAAAAAGAGTAACATGCTACAATTTGATGAACTTTACCTATACTTTTGGATGTAGTAGCTCAAATAAGGGAACAAATCTTTACAGTGAGGATCACTCACTCCCACCCCATAGGTACACAGGGTTGACAGGGATGGGCAACTTAGACATTGGCTACCCAAAATGGCGGGGAGGGCTACAAAGGCAAGAAGAGACTGGCTTACAAGCTTTCAAGAGGGAGCCTAGTTTCAGAATGGGCAGGGGTAGGTAGAATCTCCACTGAATGATTTCCAACCTGTTGGGACGGGGCTAATGAAAGGAGATGGGGATAAGACTTGTGCAGCACAATAGTGAATAATTGCTATCAGGACTGACTGTGAGGGTTGGAAATGTAAAGGTAGATATTCTGTAATAAAAAGAGGGGAGTGACTGATTTTGTAGTCCAAGAGCGGAGGTCCCTGGGACCATCAAGTGAGAAGAGCGAAGTGCAGGACCCTACCAAGAGAAGCAGTGATGCCAGAAATGGAGGCAGAGACAATGACGTGGACAGATAGAGTGGCTGGGGACACTGGACTCAGGGAGGGAGAGGGGCTGTGTGCTGACAGCTGGGAGGAGGCACGTGGGGTGTACACTTTGGTTGTTTGATGATGCGTGGAGGGGATTGTAATCATTGTAATGAAATGAAATATGATAGGATGAATGCAAAACTGATCTTCTCCCATGTAAACCCACATAATTGACAATAAAAACTTTTTTTAAAAAAAGAGAAGAAGATAGAGGGAATGCACAGAATCACTGTGCCAAAAAGAAATGATTGATGTTCATGATTATTCACATGATGTTCAATGATTTCAAGAGGTATGCGCCCATGCTCCCCTGGTGATTAGAGGTATGGCCAGCTCCCACTCTCATCCAACCCAGCACAGACCCGGCTATACAGGAGTTTGGAGGCACGTAGTTGGGAACCACACCAGTGTGAGTCAGGGGCCGGCTGTATGGCTTTGGTGTGCTGCTTTGGTGCCTGGACTCAGGTGGGGCTTGGCTCCAGACTTATGAAACCTGCAGAGTCACCAAACCAGCATTTAACTAGTCACCCTGCCCCTAGATTCTCTGTGGTCCTAACAGACACTGAAACCAGCTTCATCAAGGGCCCCCACCAACAACTTCTAGACTGAGTGCCCTGAACGTAGATAACACCAAGTTCAGCAGGAATTCCATTTAGGGCCAGGAACTCTGCTGTCACATCCTGTCCACAACTACCTTATGAGTTCCTGGAATTGCAGGCGTCCACAAGAGATTCCACCCCTCCAGGTCCAACAACTGCACTGTTTGTTTTTACAAATACAAACACCCCAAAATGACCCAGAGACAACAATTTTAGCACACACAGAGAAACAAGAGAGAATGGATCAAATAAATGACTAAGATGTAGAGCCAGAAAACATTTCTGAAGAAGAAAACGTAATGGAACTAACTGAAAAAGAATTCAAAAGAATGCTAATTAGGTACCTTCAAAAGATCGCTAGAGATAGAGGAAACCAAAGAGAACTCAATAAAAAAAGCTTAAGAAGAATTCAGGAAAATATTACAAGAACAGACAAAATAAATGTACATTTTGAAACAATGCAAAACCTGTGATTAAAAATCCAGAAGATTAATGCTAAGATCTCAGAAATGGACAATACATTGAAATGGCAAGCAAGTAGATACAAAGCAATAGAATCCTGCATTCGTGAGCTTGAAGATAAATCAATACTAGTATGCTAGAAGAACAATCAGAAAGATTGTTTGAATTTGGAAAGTTTGACTATGATATGTCTTGGTGATTTTCTTTGGGGATCTGTCCTGTTTGGGCTTCATTCAGCTTCTAGTATGCTTACCTTCTTGTCTTTCATGATGTTAGGGAAGTTTTCATCCAACAACTCTTTGACAATCTTCTGTGTGCTTTGTCTTTTTCTGTATCGTAATTCTGATCACTTGTAAGTTGTTCCTCTTCATGGTGTCCCACATAATTCTTCAACTTTCTTTGGACACCATGAAGAGGGACAATTTACAAGAAGCTGAATGAAGCCCAAACAGGACAGATCCCAAAAGAAAATCCCCAAGACATATCATAATCAAACTTTCTAAATTCAAAGATAAGGAAGGAATTCTGGGAGCAGCTCGGGAAAAACAAAAAGTGACCTACAAAGGAGAACCAATAAAACTAAGTTCTGATTTCTCACCAGAAGCCATTCCGACAGAAGGCAATGGGATGACATATACAAAACTATGAAAGAAAAAAAAATTGTCAACAAATAATGCCCAGCAAAACTGTACCTCAAATAAGATGGCATAATTAGGACATACCCTGGTAAGCAGAAGTTAAAGGAATTTGTAATGACCAGACCAACTTTATAAAAATGCTAAAGGGTGTTCTTTGGACTGACAACCAACAGCAGCAGACAACAACCTGAGATTACCATACAAGACAACACCACCCAGAATTCAACCCAGATATATATGTATTTAAATTAAAACAAGGACTCTTGGCATGGCTCTGTAAGCTCAGCACTCAACCATAAGGTCAGACTGAACTGCAA